TATATGTATGTCTAGGCATGTGTGCATGTAGGGAACAACTTATGGAGTTCTACCATGTGGGTACCTCATACCAAACTCAGGTTATCAGACTTGGTGGCAAGCTCCTTTACCCAGTGAGCCATCTCGATGGGCCATCTTTCTCTTCTGTACTCCTCTTCTTATTTCTGCTCCTCCTTCCCGCTCTTCTGCCCCTCCCCCTCTCTCCCTCTCCCTTTCTTGTAGCCTAGGCTGCTTTTGAACTCATTTTGTAGCCAAGGATGACCTGGAGCTCCCAATCATCCTATGCACCACCACACCTAGTTTGTGGGTGCTGGGGTCCCAGACTTGCTGGCAAGCACTCTATCAACTGAGCCACATCCTCAGCCCTCAGTTTCCTTTTCTGCAGCGTGGGTAATACTTGCGCATGGGTTGTGCTGAGGCAGAGCAAGGTCATGTAGTGATCGAGGCGCCAGCCTCTGTCAGGAGCTCACGGGGTAGGTGTGTTGACAGTGATGGTGACAGAGGAGCATGGAGTCATCTAGCCAGCTGCTGCTTCAGAGGGACTAAGAAGAGCAGGAGCAATCAGGCCAACTTCCAAGAGGAAGCAGCCAGCAGGGCTTGAAGCAGCTAGGGGAGAATAAATTGAGGTTAGAAGTTGGGTTAAAAATGGGAGCAGGGCCATAGTGCCCACTAAGAGTAGGGTGGACTCCTTCCTGTATACAGAGAGCAGTAGAGTTGCTGGGTGGACATGTGTTGCTGAGCTGAGCATGTGCTGTGTTAGTAGAGTTATAGGGACCTGCGGAAGAGTATCAGTACTGAGGTGGGTACCGTCCTGCTGGGACAGGAGCAGGAGCTTTCCTGGCCGCCAGGGGTCTCCACAATCCTGTGCTATAGTGCCCTGGGGTTCCTTTATCTTTGGAGTGTTAGTGCTGGTGGTGGTCCTGGCAGAGCTAACTGTTAGTATTTTAAAGTAGTATTTGGTTGCTGAAAGAATCACTGAGCCCCTGAAAGCAGCCCTTAACTGGGTCGTTTTCATTACAAATGAACAGGGCTCCTGCCAGGGCCTCCTGCCTTTCTCTGCCTGTCTCCTTCCCTGCTCATCTCTAGTGTAGGAGAAGACACAGGTCTCTACAGAGCTGTGCCTAACTCAGGGCATGGGAACCATTCCTACCCAGCCAGCTTGACGCCTGTGGCCTCTCTGCTCTGCCTTCCAGAACATGCCAAATGTCCGAGATCACGATGCTTCTGTCTACCTCCGCCTGCAAGGGGATGCCTTGTCTGTGGGTGGCTATGAGGCCAACCCCATCTTTTGGGAGGAGGTAAGACCCACAAGGGTCCCATGGTGGAAAAACAGAGGTGCCCTGGCCCCAGCCAAACCAAGTGCTTCTGAGAGCTGGCACTCAGGTACACGGAAGCTGGGGGGGGGGGGGCTGCTGCCCTCCCCCGCAGGGGGAGGGGCTGAACGATTATTCTGCACCGAATGCCACTTTATTTCTGGGAAGCATTGGGGAGACTAAGATAGTAGCTCTTTAATAGTCTCTTTAATAGTCCAAGATGTCTGGAGGTGGGAGTCCAACAAAAAGTTAAGACGTAGCCAGGCGATGGTGGCGCACGCCTTTAATCCCAGCACTTGGGAGGCAGAGGCAGGCGGAGCTCCATGAGTTCAAGGCCAGCCTGGTCTACAAAGCTACACAGAGGGGAAAAAGAAGTTAAGAGGTAAGTAGTGTAATGTGGGTGGCACACTCCAAATATACTTAGCAGGTTATGGATCATCCAGAGAGACCGGGAGCCAGGTTGAAGACACAGGTGGACTGGATGGCCAGTTGCCCAGATTGTGGTGGAGGCCTTGGAGCAGCTTGCCCCATCCCTCTCTTGAAACAGGGTTTCACTGTTATAACTTTGGCTGTTTTGGAATTGCTATGTAGACAGGCTGGACTTGAACCCCCAGAGATCCCCTTGTCTCTGCCTCTTGAGTGCTGGAATTCAAGGTGTGCACCACCATGATTGGCTCAGCTCTCCCTTCTTAAAAGCAGAAGGGAGGTCAGAAGGCCAAGCACAGGGAATGGTTGGGAGGGCAGGCTCATAGAGGGTTTTAAGTGGTTGTGGTAGGTAACTGGGAGCCATGGGAGGCTCCAGAGAAGGGCAGGCACTGTATGGTTTAAGAGAACAAGTTAGAGGCTAGAGGCTGGCACCCAACAGGAGACCACAGAAACAGTCCAGGAAAGCTAGGTGGGGGTGGGAAGAGGAAGGGAGGGGAGTGGGTGTATTGTGAGCCCACAGGGGAGTCTTGACCTTTTGTCTCATCTGACCTGGTAGAAGTCAGTCATGTGCCCTACCTGGCTAGAGGCTGTTGCTCTGTCAGAGGTGGGCCTGGAAGGGATTGGTGCTTTTCCCATGGCGGGTTGACAGTTTTCCCATGATGCCCTTGCAGGTGTCAGACAAATTTGCCTTTGGCCTCTTTGACCTGGACTGGGATGTGTTCACCCAGCACATTGAAGGTGCCATTAACCGTGTCCCTGTGCTGGAGAAGACGGGGATCAAGTCCACTGTCTGTGGCCCTGGTGAGTGGGGATGCTGAAGCTGGAGCAGAGGCATCCTTGGGTCCATCTGGGTGACAGTGCCTTCTTGAGGGTGACCTGTCTCACATTACCTGGGCTTAGCTAGGTGCTTTTATTTCCTCTCTAGGAAAAAAAAAAAGGCTAGCAAGGGCAGCAATGTATCCTTGGGCTTCTAACCCCAAAACTGAGACTCTAGACCCCATTTGTCCCCAGAACATGGGGTTTTCATCTGTAAAATGGAAATGTAGGATCCTGTCCCAGCACCATGTGAGGCAGAGTGAGGACAGGAAGGTGAACTGTGACTCTAGCACAGTGATTACCTAGTGGAGCCCCCAGCTTTACACCCCAAGTCTCACTTCCCTGGCCAGGGTCTCCAACCACTGGCTTCACTCCTTGTTTTTGGGTATCCAGAACTCTGTAGGGTTAGAGATCAGCTGTGCATGGAGAAATTCCTGGCCAGGGCCCAAGCCCCTGCCTCCTCGCTGTTCTCCAGGAGGCTAAGAGTGAGTTTAGCTCCCAGAGTCTCTCCCTGTAGGTTATCTACAGAGTATCCACTGTTCACAGGGTACTCCAGGCTCCATCTCAGAGTGAGGGTGCAGGGCTGCCCGAGGAGGATCCGAGAAAAGAGGCCATGCTGGAAAGTAGGTCTATTCTGACTAGAAGCAAAGTTTACCCTGTAAAAGCAGGAAACACATCCCTAAGATTCCATTAAGAATGTCTACCCTGCCATGTGTAGTCAACATTCTGACTGGCTCTGATAGTGTGAGATTCAGGCAGCTGCACCTTGGAGATAAGTGTGGAATAGTCCAGCAGCCCCACACACCTAGGGCCTGTGCCCTCATTCTTGGGCAAGGTTTCCCAGCCTGGCATGGGAGACACAGGCTGGGCTGCCTAGAGGAAGGAGCCTGTCTTAGTTACTTTTCCCATTATGGTGGCAAAATGTCACGACAAGAGAAAGGGCTTGTTTTGGCTCACAGTTCAAGGGTACAGTCCATCATGGCAGAGAAGTGCTGGACGGGGAGCTTGAGTCAGATGGTCACACTGAATCCACAGGCAGGAAGCAGAGAGACAGATGCAGGTGCTCAGTCTAGGACCCAAGCCCAGGGATGGGGCCGCCCACTTTTAGCACCTCAATTAGCCTAATCTAGAAAATCTATCACCAGCATGCCTTGAGGCTAACCTAATCTAGATGATTCCTCACAATTGAGAGGCTAACCTTCTAGGTAATTCTAGATCCTGAAGATCAGTATCAGTTATTACAGAGTCAGTCAGTGCTGGGCTGTGATGTTGACTACACATGGCAGGGTAGACATTCTTAGCGGAATCTTAGGGATGTGTTTCCTGCTTTTACAGGGTAAACTTTGCTTCTAGCTCAGGTGCTTTGAGACTCAAGCTCAGAAAGACGTAGGGTAGCCCAAAAGGAAACTGTCTGCAGCTCCATAGGCTGAGCAGTCCATGACTGGGAGCCCCTGAGCACCACAGTGTGTGACCTGGGAGGTAGGGACAGAATACCAGTCAGCAGAGGTGGCATGCAGTTGAGAAGTCACAGGCTGGGGCCAAGCCAGGCACTGGTAGTAAAGCCTTATGGATGAAAGGGGATAGCAGAAAGCCAGGAAGCCAAGGATCTTCCATGGGGCAAAGTGGCCAGGTTATCTCAGGAGAGATGAAGGGTCCCAAATGGAAGGTGCTATGGCCCTCTGGGGAGTGTAGCCCCGACTGTCAGGGCATGCTTGGTGACTACAGAGCAGCCGGCTCAGTCTGTGTTCATATGTGTGACTGATGAAGAAGACTGTGGCACCGGGTGTAGTCTCAGGGAGGCCAGATGGAGTCAGCTGCTAGCCTCTATGAGCAGGCTGAGAGCATGCCTGATCTGGGACGTGGGCGAGGGCTGTGACTCACGTCCCTGCTCAGCCAGAGTGGGACCGATGGTGAGAAACACAGGAAGAATCCCAGGGGCATGAATGTCCCCAGAGACTCTCTTTTTCTAATTAACCTGGAAGCTGTCACTCCTCCATAGGGCCCTATTTTGGGGGAAGAATGCTTGGGAAGACAGCTTGGGTCTGTTCTCCTAGCAGTGAGGGTGTGTTTGGGTATGGGGGTCGGGGGTAGGTAGGTTTTCTCCTTGCCAGACAGCTCAGAGGTTTGGGCTCCAGAATTCAGAGATGTCCCAGCGCCAGACAGAGACCTTGGGCAAATAGATAGACCTAGGCTGAGAATTCAGAGCCAAGGTGTGGGGTGGGGGGAGCAAATTTAAGTCCTTCCACCCACGATGCTGGGGGCTCCACTGTTCTTAACTTTATCAATCTTGCCTATGTTAAACTCTAAGGGACTCTGTACTCCACACCTGCCCTCCTGACCAAAGTTCCATCCCCAGCTCTGACAAATCTGCTTGGGATCCCTCTCTTATCTTTTTAGACCTGGACATGACTTTCATCATCCTCTCCAGCCACTCTGGTCCTACCCAGATGACTGCCCCCACCCTCAGTCATACAGTCCAGCCTGACATGGGACCCTAGAGAGTCATCAGTGCTCCATCGCAGGCCTTCCTCCCCTTTGTGAGGCCTTCTCCTAGGAGGGTGAAAGGCTGTTGGCCTTGCAGACCAAATTCTTCTCCTTCCCCATTGGTTTTTCAGTGTGGCATCTCCATGATCTGCGCCATACGCAGTTGGCTCATCAAGTCTGCCTTGACCTTGAGCCCACTCTCAGCATGCTCACTCAAGTGCCAAGTCCTTCCAGAACACACACAGGGTTGATGTGGAACCGTGAAAGAAATGCTGAGCTCACATTTGGTCAGCGTGTATGGTGTGGCAGATCAGGAGAGCCCGTTTCAGCTTCTCACAGGCTATTCCAGGACCATTTCTTTTGGTCCACTACAAATCTGGCCTTTGCCTTACATTTTTGGCACTGATATCCAGGGATGAGCCTTCCTATGGAGTCCATCTGAGGGACAAGTACTCAGTTGCTTGGCCTTGTATCTCCTGCCACTGCCCTCTGATGTGCCAGCAACTTCTTACTGTTTGAAAGCTTCCTCTTGCTCCATGGCTGGCTGCTCCTCAGCTCAGACAGTGTCCATCAGCAGGTTGGGCTCTAAACACCCTCTGGGGGAGAGGATGGGCATGCTACTTCCCTACCTGCCTAAGCTAAGAGTCTGGGATTGGATAGATCCGGGCTGCTTTGCTGAGTGACTGGAGCACAGCAGAGCCCAGCCAGACAGCTTCCTCTCCTGTGATAAACACTGGGCAGTGATAGTTCACACCATGCCAGACCTGGCTAGCCTTTGCTAAGCCAAAGTACATGGCCTTTAGCAAGGCTGGTTCTTGCCCTCCATATCCAGCAGGCAGTAACACAGAAAGATGGTTCAGTGAGGGGAGCTGCAGCACTATGCTGGGTCAGAGGAAGATCCCTTGTTGGTGGGACAATGACAATGTTCCTGAGATGAATCTGGGCCCTTGGGGTAGAGCTGATAGGTCATAGGTCAAATGCTTAGGGGAACAGGGACAGAGGCAACCAGGGAGGCTCCCTGGAGGAAACAGTATTACCTTGGGTTATAAGGATGGAAGGTTTCAACAGAGGAGAGTATCCAAGGACCACTTTCCCATCCCTACAGTGCTAGGGCACCCTACCCCAAGGGCCTGGGGCCTGGAGGAGTCTTAGGCCTCCCTTCTTTTCAGAATCCTTCACACCCGACCACAAGCCCCTGATGGGGGAGGCTCCTGAGCTCCGTGGATTCTTCCTTGGCTGTGGCTTCAACAGTGCAGGTGAGGGGCACCTGATGGGAAGGCCCTAGTGGTATGGAGACAGGGAGGCCTGTGGTGCAGAGTGAAGTCCTGCTGGAAGGCATGCAGCCCCTCAACACCCAGATGTGAGAACAGGGGTTGGGTGGGGCTGACATGGAGATAGGGGTGTAAAATTGGGTGTGGAGGGAGCAGTCTGTAGCCCTGTACTCCCATCTCACCAGGCATGATGCTGGGTGGTGGCTGTGGGCATGAGCTGGCTAATTGGATTGTGCACGGACGCCCAGAGAAGGACATGTACAGCTATGACATCAGGCAAGTATGGTGGCTGGATCCAAAGAGCAGGGTATCTTGAATGGGACAGCAGGGCAAAGGGGTGAGGGTTATTTCAGGAAGGAAACTTGCTTGAAATCCAGATGATCTCTTGGTAGAGTGGGGCAGCAAGGGTGGGAGGGAAGATGGCAGTGAGATTTGTGGGAGGTGTCATGGAGGAACACCTAGGTTTGGTACGCCTCTGTGGAGTCCAGGATCTCTTGGTCCAGGTCCTACCTGACCCACTATCCGTATGTACAGGATCCCACCATTCTACTGCACAGATGGGGAGACTGAGGCTAGGGAGAAGGGCCCAGCTGGGACCATCGTTAGGACCAGGGGTGGGGCTCCCTGTCTGTTGGCCACACTTGAGTCAGACTCAACACTGGGTAGGCTCTGCCCCATGATTCAGGACAGTCAGCATGGACAGGCTGGTGTGTGTACAGAGAGTGACTTGGGTCTGTGGGGAAGGAAACCCTGGGCACTGAACCATATAGCTTGGGCCAAGTGCTGATGATAGGAGCCTGGAGGCATCTGAGGTTTCCATGGCCTGCTGTAAGGGCTCCCAGGCAGGAAGCATGAGTTCTCCCAGGCTCCATGTCCCATTCTTAGAATAGTCCTTTTGACCTGTGCAGTGAGGTCCATTCTGGGGCCATACCAGGCTCTGCAGGGCAGCACAAGGACTGAACAGCCAGGCAAGAAGCTGCTTCTCAGCCTGTTCTGTCTGCAGTTAGTATGTGTTCCTGGCCAATAGTCTCCAGGAGGGACCCAGCTGTCCTGTTGGCCTGACATGGGGACAGAGGCGGGTGGAGGGGCTGCTGGCTCAGTGCAGGATGTCCCACAGCCCTGCCAGCTTGTCTCTTCTTGGCTGAATGAGAACATTGCACTCATGGGGGAGGTGACGTCTGCCACCATGAAGACAGATGGTGGACTCTGAGAACCCCAGAGTGCCACCCCCTGACGGGCTTCTGGTGCTGTGAGGTCTGCTCTATCCCTTCAGAGACTGTCTGCAGCCACACCTATGCTTTCCTCCCAGAGAAGAATGTTCTAGAAATGATACAGCTTCAAGGGGCCTCAGGGAAGGGTCTGCTCATATTCCTCCTACTGCAAACAGAGTCGGGCAGCCTGACCTCCTTCAACTGTGTGATCACAGCTACAGGACCATTCTCAGTGCCATCAGGGTTTCATTCAACCCAGATAAGATCAGCTTGGGTTAGCTGTACCTATTCAGCACACCTGAGGAGCCACCGTGGACTCCAGACCTGCTCGCAAGCTGTGTGTGTGTGTGTGTGTGTGTGTGTGTGTGTGTG